GGTGGAGGGAGGGTTTTACATTTTAACTTTGCACCTTTACTATTTGTATATTATAATGTTCACAGCCTCTAACTTGAACTTATCTTCACATACCTCCTTTACTAATTATATATTATAATGTTCCACGAAATTTAATAATATCTTTGGGAAAAATAGCGAATCTTTCCTACCAAGGAAAAAAGACAAACAAACTTGTTTATATGTTTTGCTTAAAAGAAGGTGAAAAAAAGTTTATGTAAAGATTTTTGCATGATTTGTTACCAATAAACAAGGTATTACATGCGCCCACATTTAGTAAAGTGGGAGAATAATTTTTCATCGTTTCCACTCGGTATCCGATATTTGTATTTACGTCTAACTAAATTTGGATTGACATCAGAAAATTTCACATTGAAGATTAAAGCGTTTTCTAACAAAAGTGACTTCATATTTATGACATGAACTTGACCCCTAATTAACAAAAAAAAAATGAAAAATAATTCAATCATCTCCTTTTTGTAGACTCCACTGACCGATGGCTGCTGCTTCGTTCTTCTTCCACATTTTGCTACTTATACAAGTAAAATAGTATCAAAAATTAAACAATAATAACAAAGACAATGCTACAATACTATTACTCCTAATAGCAAAATAATAAGAACAGTATATAATATAACAATAATAATAAGTAGATATTATTATTCATTTCAGTAATTGAGTGCCTTGCTTTCTCAATGCCATATGGACCACCTAAATGATCATTAACTGAAAAAAGAAAGCCTTGGACGGGTCTAGAATTTTATTAAGGGATATAAAAAAATATAGAAGTAAATACACAAAACAATCAAAGGAATTCTACGCATAATAACATATACATCTTTAAAAAAAAATTCTACCTAGCTACACATTGTGATTTTCCTTTGCCCCTCCTCTTTTTCCTTCTTGAGTCGAGGATCTACCGGAAATAGCCTCTATGCCTTTTTAAAGGCAAGCGTAAGATCTGTATATACTCTACCCTCCCTAGACCTCACTAATGAGATTACACTGAATTTAGTAATATTATATATAGTGTGATTTTTCGATTTAAAGAGTGTTAATTGACAATCCTTGAAAAAAGGTGGTTCCGCTACTAATTTCGTGGGATACCTATAATTTTCTAGGGGACAATACTTAGCATTTGCAGGTACTATTTTAGAGTTGGATCAAAACGACCAAAAAAAGGCATATGTCTATCGCCTAAACCCTATTTTGGGGACATGCAGGCCCAGAAAACATTGCTAAATTTTGAATTTGCACAACGTGGGAATGATTGAAGAAGATGCAAAAATAAACTTGATAAGTTCTTTTAAATTTATTGTAACGTTAAAATTATGGATTAAAATTTAATATTTATTGAAATTTTACTAGGTTTACATACTTATAGTGGCAAATTCAGAATTTTCATTTAGGGTTGTGACTCCAATCCAGGACCTAACGGTCGTGCGTGGATGTGATTTTACCAACCGGAGCAAACTTCATTTATCATAAATATATATATATAAAAAAAAAGTAAGCATATTAAAAAATCAAGGGGGATTCAACATAATATATATATATATATATATATATCATTAC